GATCCTCCACACCAACACACAATTGAACAGCAATAAAGTAAAGTAGTGGTCTGGGAGTGCGCCAGGAGCGTAGGAGAACCCATTATCCACCTTTTGACAACGATACGTAGAACTTCCCACAGAAAACACAATCAAAATGGCCGCTACGACAAACCACAAATATGGCCGCTACAGCGCTAACTGCACATGCGCGGCAGGTAGAAATAGGAAAACCAGCTGTCCGAGCGATCGCGCAATCACTGACCACACAAAACTGCGGAAACAAAAATACCCAGCAGTATGGGTCAGGAGGGAAAAAAAGGTCCCAGAGACCCCAATAGGCAGCACTCCCAGACACCAGCAGGACTTTATAAAACAGCAGTAATTAGAGAAATAAAACATCCACCATACATAAATCTACACAAACAAAACCACACATATGTATAACACTCAATGATTAGCAAGAGACGGACTACTTAGTCTGACAGCAAGAAAGAGGAGGAGTCAATGAGCACCACACCCATATGGACAGTATTGGATCCTGATTGGTGCCAGTGTTACTATGTTATTATGTTTTTTTTTCTATAATTCTCTCATACTTCCTTCCTTGCTGCTGGGAGTAAATAAAGAAAGAGAATGCATAATATTAGCCTCCATATCACTAATACAATTATGGTGATGTGTAAAAGACAGGTCTGCAGGTAAATGTATACACAAAGGACATATGAGAATTGAAAGTGGAATGGGAGCTCTGGAGGGTGAGTAGCTGTGAATGATATACATTGCTTGAATAACTGCAGGAAAGTTTCCAATAAAACCAAATTGTTTCAAGCTGGTGACCAGATATGACCATAGGAGGCATGGGCCCTTTCAGAATCTAACGATAAGAAAAGAATGAATTTTGTGATTTGAAACATACCAACGCAAATCAAAACAACATACAGTATTATCACAAGCTTGTCGAGAGGGTTTGAAGTCTTCTTGATCAGTGTGTATGATGGAAGTTAGCAAAAGTTGCAGTCAATTATCTAAAGTAGTGTTAAAGGAACACTCTGCATGTGACCAATATAATCTCTGTATAGAAGCTGGAGGAAAGTTGCAGCCCAGTTCCAGCAAACCAAATGCCCCTTTGTTCTAGATGAGTACCTATGACAGACTGGGGTGTCTCCACTTTAGTGTTTTTCTTTTGGAGATGATTATAAGATACACATTATGTTGCCTTTTGTATTGGCGTTCTCCACCCACACTTGTGTGTCAGGGTTACATTTGGAAGAGTAAAGCAGGAGTCTTTTTTGTTTATACATCTTTCCTTACACCCCTTGTCTATCCATGTTATGCTACTTGCCTTTATTTACATTTATTGTTTTCTTGCTTGCACTGGAGCAGTGTTTTACGGTGGTTCTACTAGTGTAGGTTTTCTAAAAAAAATAAAAAATCTTACTTCAACCGTGGTACTTAATTATATTACAGCAGTCTGATCTTCTAGAATCAAATTCGCTTTAGAGATTAGTTGCGTATGTCCTTTGCATGTGTATCTTCAGGTCTCATATCCTTATACTATGTTTATACCATATTATGCAATATTTCCACTTAATTTTGGAATAATAAGGGAGGTCTCTGAACATTAAGATCCAATTCTTGTGGTTTCTTCAAATGATCAAAAGGGGCTATTTTCCAGCAAATATTTGGCTTTAACCAGGGCCGTCTTTAAGGAGGGGCAAAAGGGGCAGCTGCCCCGGGCCCAGTTACTCCTGGGGGCCCTAAGGCAGCTGCCCCATGGGCCCCCTGCAGCACCTGAGGCAATCAGGGGCCACAGCCCTTTAATACTGCTCTGGACCGGACCCTTGTAATATGGGGGTTGGCTGAATACAAACACACAGCTAGCCCCTCACACACTGCCCTGTGATCCCATTTCTGGCTGTGTTTGTGTCAGTGTGTGTATCTTGCTGTATTTGTGTCAGTGTTTGTATCTGGCTGTGTTTGTCTGTGTTTCTGTGTGTATGTATACCTGTGTATGTGTACCTTTGTGTGTGTGTGTGTGTGTGTGTATGTGTCAGTGTGCATCTGAGTGTGTGGTAATGCATACATCCCAGCATTTTAATGCCAACACAAATACACTCCATCTCTAGCACTGTACACATATACACCCCTGCATTTATACCTTTATGTATGTGTGTATCTGAGTGTGTGTGTACATACCTGTGTCAGTGTGTGTGTGTGTACCTCTGTGTCTGGATGTGCCAATGTGTGTGTGTGTATCAAAGTGCTTGTATCTGTGTGTCAAAGGGTGTGTATCTGAGTGTGTGTGTGTGTATGTGCCAGTATGTGTCAAGGTGTGAGCATGTGTCAGTGTGCCTATGTGTGTATCTGCGTGTTAATGTGTATGTGTATATGTGTTATAGAAATCACACAACATGCAAACAGAGCCCTGCAAACACAAACATTACATACAAACACACCAGTTTGCTGAAACACCAATACTACACACAAATGTACACAACACTACATCCAAACAACCCCCTGCATGCAAATACAAACATTACATACAAACACATTCCTGTATTAAAACGCTTAGATTATATACAAACACCAACTCTACACACAAAAATACACCTGCATTTAAAAGCCAACACTACAGACAATCACACATTACTGCATTCAAACGCAAACACTACACACAAGTACACCACTGCATTCCAATGGTAACAGTACATACAAATACACCCCTACATGCACACATACACTCTATACAATAACATGCTGACATTCAATTGCACAAACACTGCTCAAAAATACAACCCTGCAAGGATGGTAGATCCCCACCTGGCATAGCATCGCTGGAGTTGTATGACAGATGGGGATCTATCTTTTCTTTACTCTTGTGCTACTGGGCAGGCCTGAATTATTTTTTTTTTTTTTGCACCAAGGCACTCTCTACATTAGTTTCGCCTCTAGGTTGGGGTGGAGGGAGTGATTGCATGCCCAGGGGGCCCAAGCAGATGCTTGCCCAGGGTCCAATCAATATTAAAGACGGCCCTGGCTTTAACCTGTAGAGATCCATTATACAATAAACAAAATTGTAGCTTGTTTTGTGCCTTTTTAAGGGGTTTCCTTTACATTTTAAATACCAGAGGCTGTTTAACCCCTTAAGGACACATGACATGTGTGACATGTCATGATTCCCTTTTATTCCAGAAGTTTGGTCCTTAAGGGGTTAAAGAAAAATGTCAATGTACAATGTTAATGCAGAGTGTTTTGTTACGTATGGTCGGGGACTAAAATTAGCCTAGTAATAACAAGGTTGCAAAGAGAACAAACATCCAAGGGCCGTGAAAAGAGGAAAGCTAAGAGAACGGTTGTGTCAAACATTGGTCCAAAGATAAACCTGAAAGAAGTTTGTTTACCAACGAAATGTTCATTGTAGAGCACTAGGAGTAATAGACCTTAAATACCATTAATCAAGTAACCGTAATAAAAATTGATTCAATACAGAATCTTGTGAAAGCAGGACTGCATAGAACTAAAATTACAGTAAAATGTTTAGAGGCACATGGTGTGTAAAGATCAATCATTTGTTGCATCACTCACTACAAACTTCCTCTGAAAAAAACATCAACACAAGAATTGTGCAACAGGTGCTTCAAGAATTGGATTTCCATAGGCGGGCAGATGTACACAAGGCTCACTACTACATGCAATACCACACATCAATTTGAATGGTTTAAAGCATGCCGACAGCAGGGATGTGCATGGGAAAAAAAATACAGTTAGGTTCGCAAATTCGGGTAAGTAAAAAAGATTTTTCTGCTTCGGCACTTCGGACATTCATAAGTATCCAAATGGCATGAAATTCATAAGGATGTACATTTGGACCGAAACAAATCACACATGTCTGTGGTCACATGAATGCAAGCCCACACCCGGACAAGCACTACAGAATCTGTTGGCACTATATAAATGGCAATAATAAAAATAATTGGCTGTCCTCTAACATCAGTCACAAAAATGTTCTCATTTCATTGGACAGAGAATCGTGAAACCGGATTGAGCAGGCAAGCATTACATTGCACAAAAGGAATTAGCTTATTGGTCAAGATTACTGTCATCATTCACGTTAATTTCTCTCCTGCTTGTTTTGCCACTTTTCTGAAATCCGAGTCACTTCGGACATTCGTAATCATCCGAATGGCATGAAATTCATAAGAATACACATTTGGAACGAAATGAATCGCACATGTCTAGTTGCCAGTACATTCTGGACTTGGCAAAAAAAAAGTGGTCGCTGGAGTAATGAATCACACTTCAGTAACTGGTCCAGAGACGATCATCATCAATTAAATCAATGACAAATTACCGTATTTTTCGCTCCATAAGACGCACCTCACCATAAGACGCACCTAGTTTTTAGAGGAGGAAACCCAGAAAAAAAAATATTCTGAACAAACTGTTCCATAGTGTTTCTTACCATGGGACAGTTTGTTCAGAATATTTTTTTTTCTCCCCTGTCCCATAATGATCTTTAACCCCCCTTTCCTCTGTCCCATAGTGATTGTTAACCCCTCCTACCCTGTCCCATAGTGATTGTTAACCCCTCCTTAACCCCTCCTACCCCTTGTCCATTAGTGTTCTGATCCCATAGTGTCCCCCCCTCCCATTGTCCCATAGTGCACTTTCCCTCCCATAGTGTCCCCCCTGCCCTTGTCCCATAGTGTCTCCCCCTCCCCTTGTCCCATAGTGTCCCCCCTCCCCTTGTCCCATAGTGTCCCCCTCCCTTGTCCCATAGTGTCTCCCCTCCCTTGTCCCATAGTGTCTCCCCTCCCCTTGTCCCATAGTGTCTCCCCCCCTCCCCTTGTCCCATAGTGTCTCCTCCCCTCCCCTTGTCCCATAGTGTGTCTCCCCTCCTTTCTCCCATAGTGTCCCCTCCCCTTGTCCCATAGTGTCCCCCCTCCCCTTGTCCCATAGTGTCTCCCCTCCCTTTCTCCCATAGTGTCCCCCTCCCCTTGTCCCATAGTGTCTCCTCCCCTCCCCTTGTCCCATAGTGTCTCCTCCCCTCCCCTTGTCCCATAGTGTCTCCCCCTCCCCTTGTCCCATAATTACTTACCTGTCTTGGAGCGTGGGCCGGCTTCACAGCGCGCTCCGCGGTCCAGGAACTTCTATTTCAGGTTCCGGTTTCCGGCGGGACTGAAAGGAAGTGTGCACACTCAGTGAAGCCGGCGCGCTGTGAAGCCGGCCCACGCTCCAAGACAGGTAAGTAATTCTTCACATTCGCTCCATAAGACGCACAGACATTTCCCCTCACTTTTGAGGGGAAAAAAAGTGCGTCTTATGGAGCGAAAAATACGGTAATTTCACTGTTCAGAGTTTGTCTCACAATTTTTTCTTTATACATAGCCTCATGGAGTTCATAAAAGTACTAATGATATATAGAGAAGATAAAATTGAAGCATAGTTCAGATGCATCTTTATTATGAAAGTTAGAAACTGAATAGCAAAGCTTCAAATCATAAAAAAGTAAACACATTCTATAGCATAAAAAAGGAAAAAAATTAAAGAAGTTATAGAGCCTCAACAATATTAATTTTGAGCCTTCAACAGTGGCTTGAAATATAGCTTCTGTGAAGGCTGCACAAAATCTGTAGAAATGTGATATTTCTAGACTTGCACACGGCATAAAATTTTGGTTCGGCTGAATGCATTCGGACAAACAAAAAAATAATTTTGATATTCAGAATTAATTTAGTCCGTTAGTTGATTTGGTTTGGCCAACATCTGGCCAATATTTTCACTTCAGAATTTAAAAAATCTTTCAGTAGATAAGTCCGATACTTAAAAACCATTATGTGGGTTTGACAATATTTAAGGATGCCAAATTAGGGAGCTCCTTCATTTGGTATCTTTAAATATGGCAATCCTAGATAAGGATGCTAAAATAGGGAGCTATCTAAGCAGTTGAAAGATAAAAATTATGAGAATCCCTTCGTAATTTTGTTTTTAGCTTTTTATTAGATGATACCCTAAATACCATTTAATGATTTCTACATTAATTAACTAACAAACCAAATGCCCATGGAAGAATTTCAGTCATCAGTGATTCATTAATTATGTCATTCTTCCAATGTGCCATTCAAATGGCTGAATTATACCAAAAACAAATGCCCCCGTCTAGTTATTTCCTTAGTCTTTATATGTTATTAATTACCAAATACAGTACTTCCAAAAAGTTATGGGAATATATACAGTAAATGATGTTCTGTCTCCCTCTAGCGCTAGATTTTGAAACTACTGTACTAGGCAATTAGAATGACTTCTTACGCTGTATACAAACGTGGCAGTGCATCTTACATTTGAATTTGAAGCTTCAAGCTCCTATTAAACCACCAATTTATAAATTGAAGACTTTTTATCAGAAAGTTTCCAAAAAATGGAATTAGAGTTATGGGATAAAATTAATCAGCAGACAACACACAAAATCCAATAAATGATTGAGTAAAAAAAAGTTTGTATTGTTTTGGATTGAGTTATTTTATTTTTTAGATCCTTTTAATTTCCTGTTACAGGCGCATCAACTGTATCTTTAGTACAAGTGACAGCTCTTTTGTCAAGCAATGTTTATCATGTTTCACAAGCTTCTTATCTAAACAGTAGCCTGACCTCTTAACACGCAATCAGCTCTTTCGCTAGAATCCCGGGCAACTTTCTATTCTAGTGTCTGTGATATTCCAGGGTTAAACTCCCTTGCTCCCTGTCTCCAACTCTCCTGGTCAGTACATCAGTAGATTCTCAGACACACACTCTTTATTTTAGATCTCCATTCTCCCTCTCCTATTTTAATTTCTCTCTTCCCATTCCTCCTTCCCCTATGAGTCAGTCATCTTCCTAATCCAGTATTTTAGCAAATTCTATGAGCATTCTATTTTTCTAAAGTATACCTCAATAATCTGTCATGACCTTCTCTTACATTCTTCTTCTGCTGTACTTCATATTACATCGAGCGAAAGAAGGAGTAATGGAGGTAGACAAACCCCCCACTATTTCCTCAAGGGAGAAGGTTACAGGAGGTAACAGGGGCTTAACCCCAATTAACTAAGAAAAACAACAAGAAAGAATAGAGAGGGAGGTCTAATCCCCTAGGAGGTGGGGAGGCAGTGGTGGATCCAGAGCCTGATCTCGGGAGGGGCACTTGTAGATTATTTAAAGAAATAATCCAGACACAATAACCACTACAGCTCAGTGTAGTGGTTATGGTGTCAACAGTGCCGGGACCCCCTCCCAGAGTAAGTAGTCAAACCGTTTAAGAACAGTTTGACAACTTACCTGAGGTCTGCTGAGAAATGGGGCTGTAGTAGGGCATATGAGCAGTGGTGTGTGTGAGTGGTGCAATGTGTAAGGGGTGCAGTATGTGTGTGTGTGTGTGAGAGGGGGACAGTGTGTGAGCAGTGTGTGTGTATGAAGGTTGTAGTATGTGAGTGAGGGCAGCGGTGTATGTCAGGGATGCAGTGTATGTGTGGGACAGTATGTGTTAGTATTGCAGTGTATGTGTGAGTGTGGGCAATGTGTGTGTATGGGGGCAGTATGTGTATGGGGGCAGTGTGTGTGTATGGGGGCAGTGTGTGTGTGTGTATGGGGGTAGTATTGGGGGCAGTGTGTGTATATGGGGCAGTATGGGGGCAGTGTAAAGTGTATGGGGGCAGCATGTGTGTATGGTTGGATTGTGTGTGTTTATGGGGTAGTATATGGGGGCAGTGTGTGTGTATGGGGCAGTATGTGTGTATGGGTGCAGTGTGTGTGTATGGGGGGCAATGTGTGTGTATGGGGGGCAATATGTGTGTATGGGGGGCAGTGTGTGTGTATGGGGGGCAGTATGGGGGGCAGTGTGTTTGTATGGGGGTGTATGTGTATAGAGTGTGTGATAAGGGTAGGGGGGCTTCTTTTTTTTAATAATATATATTTTTATTTATTTAATTAAAATAAATAAATATTCTATGTCCCCCCTCCTTTCTTACCTTTACTGGGAGGAGGGTGGACATATTTCGATCCCTGGTGGTCCCAGTGGTGACTCCCTGCGAGTCCCAGTGGGCACAGAGAACTCTAGCCCGCGCTCCCGGGCTAGAGTTCACTCTCGTGAGATTTGGAGCGTTGCCGTGGTAACCACGGCAACGCTCCAAATCTCGCGAGAGGAGGACCCGGAGGAGCTGCAGCCTGAGCTCCTGGGTCCTCTCTCCTCCCTCTCCCTCCCCTGCCGGCTGTCAGCACAGTGCCTGCGGACCGGGGAGGGAGAGCTCTGATCTCCCCTCCGGTCCGAAGGCATATTGCAGGGCTAGCACCTGCATGTGCTGCTGGCAGGGGAGAGGGAGAGGGAGACTGGCGGATTTCTCGGGGGGGGGGCAATTGCCCCGTTGCCCCCCCCCCCCCTGGATCCGCCACTGGGGGGAGGGGACTACCCTGACCATTCAAAGAATACCTCCTACTGTTAAAAAAATCACATAAATTAGGGTATATAACCTTTATTGAAATATGTATAAAATTTATACAAATACTGCCAAATGTATCTAATGGCGATAGAAAGGAGAAAAGGATGGACTAAATGTCCCTATATGGCTATAGAGGGAGCACAATATAGGGGAGGTGTATAGATAGAGGTAGGTAGGGGAAGTGGCTATTACCCTTTATAAAGCAAATCCTAACCACTTAACAAGTTGCTCTTGATAAAGGCGTGCTTGAAAACGCCGAAACGCGCGTCGAGTTTAGATAGCTTTAGCGGACGTCAACCATTTGATTTAAGGTTTTAGTTGTAGCTGTTGCTTTCTATATACTCTGTAGACAGTCTTAGCCAATGCTAATCTTCTG